TTGATTAGTGACACATCATTTAGTGCACAAAGTTGGTACAAAATTTTAGTATGTCTAACATTATTTCAAAAAGTGATCTATAAAATTAGATCTATTTCAAAATTTCCCAACTTTTAATTAGCTGGTAGTTGGTACTTCATGTTTCCATCCTCAAATAATTATTCAGATATAACACTATTTTTTTTCATAGTAAAAACGGCTCTTGGATGGGGAGAGATCCTTAATAGTGTTGGGAGGATCCTCAAACCAAACTATGTTAACTATCTAAGCTTAAAGCTTTCCCTCTTTTTTTTATATGAAAGACCAACAACATATGGTAATGGTTGTAAATTTGTGTAAACCCTGTTTGTTGTAATCTTCCCTAAACTTGTAACATACTGACAATTTATTCTCTGAATTTTAATTTCAGCTAATTACCTCTTAAACTTCTATTTATGGGTAAATTCCCTTCTTCTATTAAATATCCCATATTTCATCCATGATTCGGACCATTTCTTATCAAAACATTGTTTTCCCTTTTTGAATAAGCATTTGCTGGTAAAACAAAGAAGATAAGGGCCGATTTGGTATCCTACTTGAGTTTAACTTTTTTAATTCAAAAACACATTTTGAGTTTTAGACTTTGAATTTTTGTTTAATAGAACTCTTTTTAAAAATTGGATTAAAAAATAACTTAAAAACATAGGCTATTTATTAAAAACACTAAGAATGAGTTTTTAAAGTTTTCCTACTCTCTCCTCAACATCTTCTTTTGCTCCTTTGAAACCCTATCTTTTTTCTCTCTCAGCCCTCTCTTTCTTCTCTTCCCACGTCACACCTTGTCTTCTTACTCTCCTCAGCCTTTGTCTGTTTGTCTCTCATTACACTCTTTCTTCTCACTTCTCATCTTCTTACTGTAATTTTTTGCTCTCCCTCGTCCTCTCCCTGTCTTTCTCCCTCCTTGCCAACTATTTCCTCTCTTTTCTCTTTTCCAATTCTTTCTCTCGTCCAATTTTTGTTCAAGGAAGTTTGAATTCAAACTAAAAAAAAATTATTTTTAAAAATTCAACCAAACAGATTTTTGAGATTTTGAGACCTAAAAGAATACTGTTTTTAAGTGATATTATTTGAAAATTATTTTTAGGAACAACCAAAGTTTTTGGGTAGGATACCAAACATGTCCTAAATGATTCGAAAACAATCAAGGGGGATGGGAGAGCGCGCAACGAGGAGCTGTTGGTGTGGAGGTAGGTAGGCTGCAAGGGTGGGTTTGCAGGGAGGAAAGAAGGGGATCGTAGCTTGGATCCGAAATCTGGGACCTGCCATTGGAGGTTGTGGGTTGGTTTTGGCAGGAGTGGTACTGGGGCTCAATTTGGTCTAAATTTGGAGTGCTGGAAAAGGGTGGGAATGAATTTGATCTGGGATTGGAGGTGGCTGGTGGTTTGAGGTTTGGAGTGGGTGGGATGGGTGATTAGATAGATGAAAAGTGAGAGAGATAGACAGATACATGAACGGATGGATGTCGTTTCTTTATTTTCTTTTTAAATTAAATTTTTTTTTATTGCGAAATGGATGAAATGTGAGAAATTTAAACCTGGCAAATTTAACTATAAATAAAAAGTTTAGGAGGCTTTTTGTGTATTTAACTTTTTTTTTTCATTTCAAATTAATGAAATATCGTTATCGTTCTTGGACAAAAGCATCTAATAATTGTTGAATAATAATATATAAACATTTGACGTGAATCGCGACATGCATGTGATGTAGATTTAGATTTTATCCGGATCATCTTTGTGAGGATTTCTAGACCTCATATTTTACCGGTTCATCGTACATCGTATGTTTATAGATGATTTTGAATTTTTTTTATTTAAAATTAAATAAAAATAGTATGTAACAAAAACTGATCGCATAATATATAATAAATAGATAAAATGTGAGTATTCGAGAATCTTGACAAAAAAATCCATGAAGAATTCTCCTCCATCTGATGTGGATTGCATGCTGTACATCAAATTATCAATCTCACAAAGACTAGGATTATCTCCCTTCCTCTTTCCATCCTCTTCCCGTCCTCTTTCAACCCCTCCCTTCACATTATTTTATTTTGTCTTTCTTTTGCTATAACAAAATTAATATAAGATGTTGACGTAACTTAACCGTGACCGTTTAAATAAATAAAAAAAAATAAAAAAAAAAAATAAAACAACGAAAAGAAAACAAGGAGAGAATCCTACTCTATCTCACAAACCCTAACCCAAGAAGCTCGCCTCAATTCTCTCCCAAATTTCAGACCATTTGTCAAGCCCTAAAGTAGAAATTAGGAAATACAAAATCAAGAGCACATTAATTGGTTTTGGATATTCCAAACAACGTGGCAATAATCCATAAGCCAACCGTAAATTTTTCAAAGTAGATAGCCGTCATGGGTGGGACCCACAACCGAGACCCTTGATGATGGGACCAAACGACCAACCTACTAATAACAGAAATGTGAACACGTGGAAAGCATTTGGATGGCATATTAATTACCTTCGAAAACGAAAGGTTAATCATAGGTCTAATTACACTTTGCATCCCTCGACTTTAAGATATATAATAAAAGCTTACTTATATATGGTTTCTTGCAAACTTGCCCCTCAACACTTTGGTTCCCCCTTTCGTTCTTAAATTTTGTTTTTCATCTCAAGTTGGCCATAAACTCTTGCAAGTGTGATTACTAATGACGAATGGTGGCTTTCTATTAAAAATTCTGACAAAACGGCCACGTGACAGGCTCGTTGAGGACATTACCTTTAAAATAATGTATTGCAACCTTTACTAGCCATTTCAGTTTTTGAGATTAGATCTTCCTCAAAGACTTGAGATTTTTCTTTTTATATAGAGAATAAAAAAAAGTCGAGATTCAAAACATTTATAAAGAAGCTTGTTCCTAAGTGACATTAGCACAAGAACAATGTAACTAGAATGAAGTTAATGTGAATCACGTCTCTAAATTAAGTCTGCAAACCATGAATGGCATCCAATCGATAGAAGTTGAGGTGGCAAGTTCGTTGCTAAAGTTTAATGAGCAACTTTTTTTGAATGGTCAAAATTCCTATCGCACATAACGCATCAGCATGTTTCAACATAAGTAACGACTCGTCCTTATACAAGCATGCAAAAGTTGAAGGACTAACTTGGAAGAAAATAATGTCTCGAGGACCAAGGTGGACAAAACCCAAAAATTTGAGCAGTGTGGTAAATGACCCGTTATATGAAGGCAATAGCTGAAGATATTTTTGGTTGTGACGGAAATACGAATGGTACATCACGTGTTTTTATGTAAATGATGAGAAATTTTATTTTTTAAGTTATTAACTTTTTAACACAAATATATCGTCATTTGTATAGTGATACGTGGAGTACTACATCGTATGTCAATCACATTGAAAAATCTCTCGAAAAGCTGCCCAATCATCCTTAACCCCATTCGAGACACCACTTTCATTTTCCTCATCGTCCTTTCATGCACGCAAGGCTCGTGATTTATTAAAAGCAATATATCCCACTCCCACCACCGACCCTTCCAGACTTCGTCCAGCTTTTTTCCTTTGCACTCGATTAATCATTCCCCTTTCCTTTTAATAGAACATATGGGTATGTTAAACTACACTGCATAGTGTTTGAATTAAGTCTTGTAATGGCGTTCTTTATAGTAATTTAGTATCAAATTACCCATTCATAATTGACGGATTTGAAAAAAATAGTTTGACAAGTGAAAGAAAAATATCACAGAGACAACGGTCGTTTTTAGTGGGAAGTAGAACATACTTTTCTTTCCAATTATTCTTCTCCCCCTCAACTCCCACATTTCCCTAATTAACCAATAAAATAACACAAAAAATCAACTATCGATAAACACACTAGCCACTAGTGATAGTCTTTAAGACACATTTCTTTTAGAGAGTATATTCAATTGAGAATTTGAGAGACTTTAATGGATTTATATATCCATGAATTTTTATGAAGTTTAATTAATTTGTAGAGATTTCGTATAAAATTTTGATTTAATTTTCTCAAAATCTCATGGGAAGAGGTGAGATTTATGAATACTTAAAATACACTACAAAATCCCTCTAATTCCCCCTAATTCCTCAACTTTCTCAAATTTTTTAAAATCAATTTCATATTGAATACATCTGGAATGTTATAAACTTCTTTAAAATCCTAATTGAATACATCCGGATTTCTAAAGATTTTAATAAACTATCTTAAAATTCTAATTGAATACACCTTGAATTTAAGAAAATCACTTAAAATCCTGATTGAATACTCTTAGATTCATTTAAAGAATTAAAATCTCTCAAAATGGGACTAACATTAATGAGACTAAAGGGGACTAGCATGGATAAAACCCTTCACTAAGAGGTCTTAGCGAGACCCCCCAATAACCATGGGACTAGCTAAGACTATCTTCTCTTTCTTGTCCTCGTCATGCTCAACGACTACTCTCAACAGACTCCTCGTCATCTCCGGTCACGTAGATCAATCATTAACTTTCCGACTCTCTTTCAGATCCATTTCACAACCAATTTTCATACAAAATATACCAAATTGAAGCTGGGAGTGACAAGATTACGATTTTACTTGAATCGAGGCCAAAATGTGGTCGAATGTGGCCGGAAAATGGCCTGGAAGTCTTGGCCTGTTTGGGCTTCTTCAAATCCATGACAGATTCGAGCATTCAAAGCTAAGATCTCGGTCCAGGGATGGTGATGAATTTTTTGGCAGTGCTAACTTCATCCAATTTAACAAGGAAATGGTAGGAAAAAATGAAGAAAAAGATAAGATCATAATAAAATATTAATAATTTATATATTAAATAATATAATATTATAATTTGTTATTATCCAGCTTCTTAGTCCAATACTGCACCAAACGCTTCACTAAGTTAGTCCAGTTTATTCTAGTCTAAGCCAGTCCAGCTTAGTCCTTGAAGCTAATCCAGTCCGAGATAGTCCGGCGCAACAAACGCCCCCTCACTGTTTGATTACATGGCCATTGCTATATCTGGGAGCATAGCTAGGTGGTGGGCCCACGGTGGTGACGTGGGTGGTGTTATAATGACACGTCTGACGCTCGTGCAGCGACTTTGCCGGACCTCGGTTGCCGTAGAAGCTCTGTCAGTGTCTCCGCCTGTCCCCATAAAGACACACAAAACGACGATCAAAATACAAAACCACTCCCCCATCACGCACCAAATTATTTAAAAAATATATAAAAAACGACAAAATAATTCAAGTGGCTGAGACTGGGAGACTAACCTACGACTTAAATGACGATCCTACCCATGGTCTAATTGCGTACAATGCAACCATAATTGGGGGGAGAACTGGGATTTTGAATTAATTTTCCCCGAAGAAGTATAAATCGGAAAAAGAATATGCCACCCGACTGACGTGGCCCACGCCACAAGACAAAAAACCCCATTAAATTGGGGAATATTTTCAAAAGCCCACCCCACGTCAACGATGGCTCGAGGGGTCGTCGACCAGTGGACCGATTGGACCCGAAAAAAAAAAACAGAGAAAGGAAATGTTGATTATTTTTACGTGCCGGAAAATACTCACCTTTTGCTTGGCACGATTGGTGCCGGACTGAGACAAAGCGACGAGGGGAGGAATCGCTCCTTCGCGGACCACCATGTTACGGTGGACCCCACTGTTCTGGCAAAGCTGCAGCAATATCGCCACCGATATCTCCTTCTGCCGCTGCGACCCCACCTCTACAATCTCCACCAGTACCGGAATCCCGCCTTCCTCCACCAACGCTGCGCGGGCCTCCGGCACCGACACGAGGACGCTCAGCACGTACGCCGACTTGTCCACCATGTTCGACCCGAAGTCCGCCATCAGTTCCACAAGCGGCTTCATGATTCCCGACTCGACGGCTTTAATCTTGTTCTCTTTGACGGAGCACAGCGAGTACAAAGCCGTCGACGCGTCCTTCTTCCCACGAAAGCCTCCACACTCCAGAAGGTTCACCAGAAGCGGAATCGCTCCCGACCGTCCGATTGCGGCTTTGTTCTCTTCGATTTGCGAGAGGCGGAACAGAGCGCAGGCGGCGTTCTCTTTCGCTGTGGCGGTCCCCGTCTTGAGCGACCGAACCAGCGGCTTGATCGCTCCCGACGAAGCGATGAGCTCCTTATTCTCGTCGCACAGCGAGAGGTTGAGAATCGCGGTGACGCCGTACTCCTGGAGCTGGAGATCAGACGACGATAGGAGCGAAAGCAACGGCTTAATCGCACCGTTTCGGGCGATTTTGAGCCGATTTTCGGACTTGTTCTTGGCGAGGAGCCTGATTTCCATCGCCGCCTGCTTCTGCTCCTCAGTCGAACCGGCCTCGAGCACGGCGACGAGCTGTTGAATCATATCGTCGGAGTTGTCGGAAGCGCAGGCAATCAGAAGCCGCCGGCTCTGGGACGATGTCGTCGGGAACTCACCGGATCTATCGCTGTTACACTCGCTGAAAGCAGAGGAGTTATCGCCGTTGCTCAGATCGCTGAAGTTCCTCCCCATGTAACTGAAATTCGCTGGATTTTCCATCTCCATATCTGAAATTCCGAAATTTCTCAGACTTCAACGAAAAAAACCGTCACCGAAAACTAATCGAATCGGCGAAGTTTGGGGTCCGATTCGGGTTCTGATTCGGATTTGATGGCTGGGGCCTCTGGTTTCAGAAAAGTAAGGAAGAGATGTAGGGAGATATAAAAGAAGGCTGGGAATGGTACCACGTGGACAAAGGCCTTGGGGTTTTCGCTGACACGTGCGGCTTTATTGAGAAATTTGAGCCGGGCTTGGAGGCGAGGAGAGCACGTACGAAGGGTCTCTTTTAACGCGTGCATGGAAGGTTCGCTACTCGATAAAAGTTTTCGAAGCTTGTTATTCGTGAGATATTATGTAATTCGCTCGATGAACAATTGTAAATATTTGTTACGTGAGAAATGATAAAAAGGCTTTTTTAAAAGTTGAAATTTTATGAATATTTTGACACTTCACAATTTACGTTAATTATCGTACAAGTATTATATATTGTGTTGTTGACCAAGCAATTACTCCATGATACATTGTAAAATTGAATCTAATGTACCATGTTTTTATTTGATTTCTCTTTATGTTTCAGGAGCAAACAAAGCAAATGATGAATTACCTTTGTGATTAATACGCTCATCTTCAATCTATTACACCACAGGTTTTAACTTTTCTTTTTTTACACGTGATAAAAAAACTTTGACTCAAACGCTGTCTTTTTTCACAGATGGGGACTCCAAAGTCCAAACCTTAATGATATGGAATATTTCCCCCTGTACAGTAAGGTATGTTTTGCGTCTTCCTACGTTTGCATGCTGGTTGTGTGCCACGTAGGACATAAATACGAGAATTTGATTTGTTTATTTGATGGGCTGCACATGGTTTGATCCAGTATTTGCATCTATACAGGTGAGGAGTCAGGACCGCCCATAGCCGGTGGGGGAAAAAAAAAATTAAAAATCGAAAGACCCTGATCACCGCCGACATCACCAAACATAGCAATGGTAAAATGTATTTCCCACTCCCTATGAAAAGTCATCGGTAGTTATTTTTCAACGAATTATATTTTGCGTACCAAACACATCCTAAGGAGAAGTGAGAAAATTCAAATTATGAGTACAATCGGACTCAGATGAAACAATAATAATGCATAGTTTTAATTTCTATTAATGACTTGACAAAAAACCTAATTAAGGAGATAATAATTCAAATTATCAAATTTCTGAATACTGGTCTTTCGTTTTATACAGTCGCGGATTGGATTGCTGGCTTCTACTGTTCCACTCTGTGGACACTGTCTGAGCCTTGGCTATGATTTGGGTATGTTTCTTGGTTTCCTTCCACACTGGTGCATTTTACCATGAATCTTCATGCCTTCTCATTTCTTACCGTTATCTCTCGTCTGCTTGGTCTCAGAAGCCAAGGTTGTAGCTATCTCTGTTGAGCGCAGACTTGCCCAAGAGAAGCCACTTCCCAGTGCTTATGAAGATGCATGGCTAGGCTGCCCTTCAATGGGTTGCTTCTTACACAAGCAACACAGAATCAGATGGAACACCATGGAGATCTTGATAGAACCTAGCTAGCTATGAAGGCAGGAGTTTGAGAGCTTGTTTCGTCGTGTGAAAGTTTTGGGGGGTATTTTTGTCTTACCATTATTTATGGGGTTCCAAACCAGTTAGGCCAGTCAGAACCTAAAGCTGAATACTTTGATAAGACTCTGGGCATAAAGTTTGGGACTTTGTTTACCCATCAGCTCCCGAAGGGATTGACAATCCAATGGTTAAAGAAACTCTGTACACTAGTTTGGCTTGTTGTTCATGGCTTCTTACTCTACTTCAACTTATTTGAGACATCTTGTCAAACATCTTGCTCTTGTGACAACCATGTTCAAAAACATAAAAATGAATTCTAAATGTGAAAGATATAAGAAGTTGGGACAGTTGATTACACTGGTCCGTATGTGGATCCACTATCGGAATCAATTGGTAACTAGTGCTACACATTCCATACCTATAGTTGCTAAGCCATATCAAATATTACTTGTTAGGTTTTAGTGTCTAGAAAGGATAAATTAGAAGCTCTTATGCAAAAAATTTACCTCATCTAATTGAAGACTTGGTAGTCAAGTTGAATTCCTCGTAATTTTATGTTTAAACTTCAATGGAAGCAGATCGTGTGGTTGGGTTTTGTATTGTCAGCGAGTATAACCTTATACATATTTTTTCCTCCTCAAGTGTTTTAAAGATATATACATTACGTATAGAGGAGTTTGTCAACTGCTCTCGTAGCTCAGTTGGTTAGAGCACCCGTTTAGTAAGCGGGAGGTCTTGAGTTCGACTCTCAACGAGAGCAATTTATTTCAACTGCTTTTTCCCTTCTGTTTTTTTCTTTCGTTTTCCTCACGCACACGAAACATGTTTGCCTGACCCCAAAACCGCAGCCAAGGGTTTTACATAAACCCCAGGCAGCCCTTTCTCTCTTCCCCGCTCGCTCTCTCTAGAAAAACCTCCCAAAAGTTTCTCTCTGCTCACCATCCGCAGATATGTCGACCAGAGGCCCTGCCCTCTTCTCCGCCATTGGCAAGAAAGCCTAAACCCCAGGCAGCCCTTCTCTCTTCCGCGCTCGCTCCCTCTAGAAAAACCTCCCAAAAGTTTCTCTCTGCTCTCCATCCGCAGATATGTCGACCAGAGGCCCTGCCCTCTTCTCCGCCATTGGCAAGAGAGCCACAGGTCTCTCTCTCTCTGTCTGAATCTTTATTGGGCAATTCTTAAATTTTGAAATTTCGAATTTTCTGATATGGGTTTTTGATGTATTGATTGCTTGAATTTGCAGACTTGCTTAACAAGGACTACAACACTGACCAGAAGATAAACATTACCACCTACACTGAAACTGGACTTGTAAGCCCAAATAATATTTTTTCAACAATTTTTAATTTGGTGGAAGTTTTATGTTGTCAATTTTTGGTATGCGTTGTATTGTGTTGGTTTGCGATTTGAATTATCAGTTGTTTGCTGGCGGGATTTTCTTTTCATTTATTTATGTTTTTTTTTTTTGTAATGGGCAACAAGTGTTTCTTGAATTGCTGCATTGGATTGGAAGCAATTGAATCTTCACGGTGCGTATTTTGGTTTTCTTAGGTTATTTGAGGGAGAAAAATTGGGGCTCAATTGGATCCCTTTGCCTTTTTCCGAATCTATTTTCTTCAAAGACAATAAAAATGACTTCTTGAAACGTTTCTTGTACAATATTGTAAGCTTCAATTCAAATCATGCAAGCTTGTTGATATGTTGGACTGGTTCGGTGAATAGGATTACACTGAAGTGATAACTCGCATTCTCTTTAGATTTGTGCTGAAGTGCCAATTTAAAAGTTTGCTATTTGTATATCTGCTTAGTGCTTGGTCTTGCTTATGAATTAAACAGGGATGTGTGTTGTTGTTCGTTGGAAACTCCCCTTGAATTTCCTTATTTTCTTCGTTGAGAATGCGAATATATCGACTTTACTAGTTCCATGTTGTGATTGTAACGGTTGCTTCTTAAAGGCTTGCAGCAGTTAGATATGATGAATTTATCTCTGATTTCAGGCCCTTAACTCGGGTTTGGCTAATAGAGGAGGTCTGTCTTCTGGGGATGTAGCAGCACAATACAAATACAAGAATGTCGCACTCGATGTCAAAGCTGATACACAATCAAATGTGGTTTACTAACCTTCGTTTTTCCATGTCAAGTTTGAAGTTCGATAATTGTTTCTGACAGTGGTCTCTTTTTTGAGCAGGTCTCGACAGTGCTCACTGTCACTGACATCTTGCCTTCTACCAAAACCATCGCTTCAATCAAACTCCCTGATTACAAATCTGGCAAGGTATCGGCTTTTGTTAGCATCAAATGGGACATGAATTTACAATTATTACAGAAACTGATAGTCATTTGTCCAATATATTGCAGTTGGAAGTCAGTAGTCTTTATGAACATGCATCCTTCACAACCGCTGTTGGACTGAACGAGTCCCCTGCTGTGGACTTTTCGGCAACCATTGGTACCCCGGCCATTGCCTTTGGAGCAGAAGCTAGTTTCTTGACAGGTTCCAGAGTGTTTTCTAAGTACAATGCCGGTGTCAGCTTTACACAGCACGATTCAACAGCTTCTGTGATTCTGTAAGTTCATCATTTATAGGTCGCTAAGCAAAAAATAAACGTAGTTGTTAGAATGTTGGACTGATGCACTATTTTTGTATACATGAACTTTCGTTCTGCTTTGATTGTTTGAGGAGAGCAATTGTATTGGCAAAGAAAATGGCAAACATGTTTCTTTTCATTTTGTAGGGCTGACAAAGGAGATTCACTACGGGCGTCATACTTGCATCAACTGAGCAGGCTGAATGGGGGAGCTGTAGTTGGAGAGGTGAACAGAAAGTTCTCCACGAATGAGAACACGCTAACGGTCGGAGGTTCATACGTGGTTGACTCTGAGACGGTTGTGAAGGCGAGGCTCAACAACCACGGCAATCTTGGGGCTCTTTTACAGCACCAGCTCACACCCAAATCTTCACTTACACTCTCTGCAGCCTTCGACACCAAGGCATTAGAGAGGAATCCGAACTTGGGGTTGGCGCTCTCCCTCAAGCCCTAAACAGTTCTAAGAATTTTGCCAATGAAATTTCACAATGGTTTCACGAGAAAAAACTTGTGTAAACAGTGATATGTCAACGTAATGAGTACTCATACGGGTATGATATCCACACATCTCATTTTACTTCTCACACACCTTTTTAATTTTCGGCCGTCAGATCGGATGAATTGAAGAAGATCAACGGACATAAATTATCAAGGAATGTGTGAGAAGTAAAATAGGGTATGTAGATAGCACACCCTGTACTCATATCTCGAGTACTATAAGGCGACAGCAATTTATTCCTTGTTACATTACGAATCGTTCGTGTTTCTCTAATTAGTCTTTAAACTTTCTTCAAGATTGTGTTTTGAAAAGTCTGCTTTTAAAATTCATTTGCAATTTTCCATCCTAATGACAATTAGTTTGGAAAGCAACAGAGAATCTATTAATGAACCCCATCCACCCTTTGCTTTCTCTCGCTACAATTTTCAACGGCGTATTTTGTAATTTTCAGCTGAAAAAGAATATAATTTTCTTCCTCTCGTATTCAATAAATATCTTCATTTGCGTAACTGACACGCTAATATTATTTTAGTCTGGTTTTTGGTATAATATAAAATTATTTAAATGACTAGTAGCAAACAAACAAGGATTAGCCAAGTTGTATTCATTGAAAATTCTTCCATGTGTGGAAATATTGAACGTTTCAAATGGGGAAGAAATTCTTAAATTTGAATATAAAATTACTGAACGTTTGGGTTAATCTAAATTATATTTCACACGGAATAAATTCTTAAATTTCAATTAAAATTGACAAATTTTATCAATATTTTTAACATAACGGAAAAATATTGATAAACTATCATATGACATTTTATAAAGTTTCATTTTAAATTTTCCCGTTTGTGAGCAAATTTTTATTTCTAAAAACAACCAATGCCATTATATTCATTGAATATTAAATATTTTTGTAAATCTACATATCAATACTACCTATAATGATATGATATTTTTATAAATTCGCGTCACTTGGACTACTGAATAAAAGGAAGGGAGGTGTTGTCTGGATTTGGATCCTCACTGAATCCCCTCCTCGGGGATCCTAGGGATCAACGAACACGAACCGTTGATAAAAAATCGTACGATTCCAATTAAATACTTCTTATATTTTTAAAAATAAAACACCATCGTTTTGTGTAAAAAATATAAAAAAGTAAAAAATTGTGAGAACACAATTTTTGATCACCGGTACGTGTTTGTTGATCCTAGGATCCCCAGGGAGGGGATCCGGCGAGATCCAATCCGTGTTGTCTATCATTACAAGGATCAGTGAAAACAAAACAATATTCTGAAATCCCACAAATATAAAATATAAAAAATCTACTCTCTAAACAGATTTCCCTTTATGAATACATACAGAAGCAGAATCGAATCAAGCAAAGAACCCAACTACTTATTAGAAGCAGAAGGAGAAATTGAGAAAGAAAAAAAACAACTAAACTTAATCATCTTTGTGCGTCGCTTCAGGGAAGTCTTTCTCCTCAGGCAGATGAATGGAAGTTCGGTACAAATGAAAACCACCGGAATCCGCAGCTGGATTTATCCGGCAGAGACGGGCATTTGGGGATCCAATGCCACGTCCTCCTCGAGATCTTGAAGTACAAAATCTCTGGCCAATTGTAGCAGCAGACGCAGATCAAACCCTGATGCCAAAAGCAGTACAGATGCTCGTAGTTATGGAAGCAAACGGACATCAGTTTCTTGCACATCCTGTCCGGCAAGCTTTCCACCTCCACCCACTTCATCCCGCCGCCAAATTCCAATTCCCACACTTGCAAGCTCCTGGCAATCCCATTCCTGCCGACCCCACCAATCAGATACAGCTTCTTCCCTCCTCCTCCGCTGACAAGCCGAGCAAACACGAGCTCTGTCGGAAGCTCCGGAATCGGTCTTTCCCACTTCCCGCTCTCGAATTCGAAGCAGACAATCGAAAACGGTTCTGGCGTCACGAAATACAAACACCCTTTGAAGTGAACTCCCTTCTGGTGACAATTGTCGCTTAAAATCGTCTCGGTATAGTCAAACTTTTGCCACGATCGCGCCTTTGAATGGTAGACTAAAGTGCTTTTCGACGACGACCCAGAAGAGAGCATGAACAGATTGTACCCAGCAGGGGTGGATATCAAAGAGAAAAGCTCGAATCCAAAAGGGCAATCTGGAAATTTGATCACTCTCGAGGACTTGGTCAGAATATTGAAGACGAGAAACGAATTGGGGAGAGAGAAACAGAGCAACCCATTGGAAGCACAGAGGAGGGAGGCTTGTGCTGCTGCGCCTGCAGCGCAGGGTAGCGGAGCGCAGAGAGAGAGAGGTAGCTTGCGCCAGGTGGCGGCGTCGGAGTCGTAGAGAGGGAAGTGGCGGAAGCACTGAGGGTGGGAGAGGAGGAGGAAGGCGGAGGAGTGCTTGAAGACGAAGGAGGAAGTGAATAACAGGGACTTGAAGCGCTTGCAGGTCGATCTGAGAATCAGGAAGTTTTTGAGAGGGAGGAAAGAGAGGACAAGATCGAGGAGCTCCTCCGGCAGCTTGCTCCATATCCTGGCGTCCATCTTCAGTGGGGTGGAAGGAGAGGTGGAGACGGCGGTAGTTTGGCCGTAGTGATTTGGCGGAGAGTGGTCTTTCTTTTCAAACAGTGCATTTGTGAGGAAAGAGAGTTTGTAGCTTTTAAGGATAAATGCGAAGAGAGAGAGAGAGAGAGAGAGAGAGAGAGAGAGAGAGAGAGAGAAAGCATTGACTTACACTAATGCGTTTAATTATTCAAACATAATCAAGTGTTAGCTGATTAATCGTTTTTTAGAGCAACATTTGGGATGGAAAAACAAGTGCTCATCAAGAATTTGATCTAGACATGGCCGCATGTTTATCTACCTAAATCAGGAACCTGGCCAATTAAAGTGATACATAATCACTCCTTAAGTACCACTTAATTACTCCTCAAGTAGCATTTAATTTCTAATCGTTTTGTATTAGATAACGGATTTTAATATAAAAAGCACTTTTTTTTTGTATGTAAAAATATGATATGTTATCAAGAAGGTGACGAATGTCATTATCTTACATAAGAATTTAGAAGAAGTAAATAGAAGGGCCTACTGGCATGTTTACTAATCTGTAATTAGAATGAGAATAATTGAATTGAAAAGGAATTGAATTGAGGTGAAGTTGGAATGGAAAGAAGTTGGAACTGGATTACTGTTAAAACTGTTTACTTAAATTTTCTTAAATCGAAGTAAATAATATTGATTCCATATAAGTGTTTACTAATTCACTAGATTCGGAATATAATTCAAGATTATTACAAAAATACCCTTATTCAAAATCTATAAAATAAAATTTTATATAATAATTCATTAAAAAAAGTAGTTTTAACGAAAAGCCCACGGTACTGTTCACTTTAATGAAAAACCACATTTTTACACTAAAAAGTCAAACCTGGTACTATTTATTTTACCCTTTATTTTGTCCTTATCGTTAAAACTCAAAGTTTTCAAACATTTTTCATTAGTTTTTCTTTTAAAAAAAGTGAATATATATTTATTTAAATAAAAAATAACTCAACCCCACACTCCTCTTATCTTTTTCTTCCCAAATAACCCACTCCTCACTGTCACCTCTCGCTATCTCAATCCATTCCATTATGATTTCAAGTTTATCTATTTCAAGTCTTAGGTATCTGATGGCAAATAAACTCCACTGTAACCGTGTTCTCTTCTTCTTCTTTTCTCTCTCCCTCTAACCCAGTGCATTTGATTTCCAAATTTTCCTAGGGAAACATAGAGATATGGCAGAATTGAAATACCTCATATATCTTAGGGGTCCAATTCATCCAAAAGAAGGAATTGAATTCCAAAATTTTTATGGGTCCCACCACTTTTTCAATTCCTCATGATTTAGTAAACGCTCGAGTACTCCGTAATCGAAATTCAATTCCACATTTTGATTCCGATTACATGTATGTAAACACGCCATAGACTTCATATATAAAAATAGAACTTGCTATGTTACGGGTGCGTAAACATACCTCATTTATAATACTATTGTATATGTAATAAAATAGAGCTTGCTATAGACTTCTAATTAAATATAAAAATGAGACAAGACACTAAAACATACTACGATTTATTATTATTATTTAATTTTTTATTATTAAGGGAGAGAGGATTTCGAATTCAAAATACATGAGTATAAACGTAATATTGTATCTACTAAGATATTCGATCATACGTAAAAAAAATAAAAAGACTGGAAAATCACCTTTTTGCATATTTCCCACTGATTTTTTGTGGCAAAATATGAAGATGACCCAGATTTGTTATTTGTTAAATATAATTATAAACTAGAATTTGAGCTAATGGAGCTTTGGTTGTTTTGGATGTTTCCAATTTTATATACAACAAATGTTGGAAGGGATAAAAGTACATTCGGTGCGCGGCGTTTGGAACCTCGCGTTTCGTGCAATCAAGGACGTTTTTTGACCGTTGATTTGAGCCCTCTTCACTTTTTGGAATGATTCATCAACGGCTCATAGTGATTCGCCCACGAGTTGGTGCCAAACATTTTGAATTGAAATCCCTAATCCTACTTGGGTTAGGAATAGTAATAAATTGGAAACTTTCCAATAAATAAATTTCAAAAACCAGATATCCTCAGCCCGGTAGGAAACCCTACCCGGCCCATACATATAAAACAATCCTCAACCGTCTTAAATACTTCACCATTAATCTCTCAGTTGTTCTCCAACTACTGTTTTTTTCTTTTACATCGTCAAATATTTACAGAGATAAGATTTTCGCTCAATGCCAACAAATTTTGAAGGACAAAAAGTGGAGATGAATTCTAACCGTTGATCTGGCCAGAGATCAATAGTTTCCTGATCCTACTAGGATTCCGTAGCAACCAAGTTAAATATCCCATACCTCTCCTCCATCACTTTGAACCCTAATACAACTCTCCCTCTCCCTCTCCCTCTCCCTCTTCCTCTTACTTACTTCTCTGTCTTTCGCAATTTCTTGAGTTCTTGGATTGTACTTTTCTGCATTAGGGTTTTAGGGTCTGAAGATTTGATGAAGGCTGTGAAGCGAAAGCCGGTACTTACCGTGGAACCAGAGTTATGCCCCTCGGCAGTTCAGTACTGGGCGAATGACAACACAAAGAACGGCCGTGGGAACTCTGAGGTTACCGAGAAGGCGAGAAGGCACCTCTCCGCCTTGGGATGGAAGTTCTGGTATGCAACCAAGAAGCAGAAGATCGAGTTGCGGTACGAGTCTCCCACTGGAAAAGTTTATTACTCGCTTCGCATGGCTTGCCAAGCCTGTGTAAATTATCTAGGACGAGGAATATTTTCCGAAAGCATTGGTTCGAATTCCGTGGAGTGCTCTGCTACTCTTGATATTGTAGTAGATATTACGCCGCGGTCGACATCAAGGAAAACGTTTAAGAAGAGAGAGATTGGTGAAATCTCGCAGGTAGATGATGATTGGAGTCCGAAACAGCAGCGAGGGAAAACAGTTAAGAAGAGAAAGATTGGTAAAATATCGATGGTCGATGATGACTGGAGTCCGGAACAGAAGCGAGGTAAGGTTCATGCGGATATGAAGAGACTAAAGAAACAGAATAAAGCTAGTAAACAGCAGGCCACACGCATTTTACGGTCTACCAAAAGAGCGAGAGAGATCGAGATCACGGATCCTGGCACTCGAAACCCTAGGACAGTCCTGTCTTGGTTGATCGACAGTAATGCTGTGTCCCCGAACGCTAAGGTACACTACCGCCCTAGAAAAGGCACTGACAGTCCATTGGCGACGGGTCGGATTACTCGCGAGGGAATCAAGTGTGACTGTTGTTCTAAGGTGTTTACCCTCACTGCGTTTGAAACACACGCTGGTAGCACAAACCATCGACCAAGCGCCCACATTATATTGGACGATGGCAGGACTCTCAACGATTGTCAGAGGCAAACGATGAAGAGTCGGAAAGGAAGCACCAACACCGTCACGAGGTCAAATGAAGAAGCGACGACTGGCAATATGCATCAAGATCATCATCCTCCTCGTGATCAGAACGATGATATATGCACCGTGTGTCACTTTGGAGGCGATCTGATTCTCTGTGATCGGTGTCCCGCTGCATTCCACATTAGTTGTCTTGGTTTGAAGGATGTGTCGGAAGGCGATTGGTTCTGCCCATCGTGTTGCTGTGTGAAGTGTGGTAAAGGAAACCCTAAGGAGGATAGAAATAATGGTCTTGTGATATGTGGCCAATGTGATAAAAAATACCACTATGGGTGCCTGAGGAATGAAGGGGTTGAGGAATTGGAAAGGGATTCCAAAGGAAACTGGTTTTGCAGCAGAAAATGTGAGGGCATATATCTGGGGATCAACAAGATCGTGGGGAAAAGAATTCTAGTGGGTCCTGACAATCTGACCTGGACACTGTTGAGGCCTTCTCCCCCATCTGATTCTGATATGGAGGACTTGACAGAAAACTACAGCAAGCTCAATTTGGCTCTGAGTGTGATGCACGAGTGTTTCGAGCCTTCTCAGGATCCTTACACGAAAGAGACATTGTCGAGGACATTATTTTCAACAGAGAGTCGGACCTGAGCCGCTTGAACTTCAGAAGGTTTTACACACTGCTTTTGGAGAGAGATGAGGAAGTGATTACCGTCGCTTGTGTGAGGATCTACAGTGAGGTGGTGGAAGTGCCTCTGGTGGCAACTAGGTTCCATTATCGTAGACAAGGAATGTGTCGTGTTCTGATGGATGAGCTTGAAAACCAGCTCGCCAACTTGGGAGTTGAGAGACTGATTTTGCCTTCTGCATCTAGTACCCTGGATACATGGACTAGCACTTCATTTGGGTTTTCAAAGATGACAGCTGATGAGAGAACGCAGTTTCTGAATTATACTTTCATGGATTTCCAGGGCACCATCATGTGCCATAAAGTATTGAAACAGACCAACTCCGTGACGCAAGCAATCATACCATTTGAAGGAAGTACCAAATTTGATGAATTGCCTGGTGCCATCTCTACAGTAACTCAGGAGGAAGACAATCAGCCGGAGAATGGAGCTTTAGACCAAGAATTGGGGAATATTGCCTCCGGTCACAAGTTTTTTATTGACGATGTTGACTGCATGCTATTGGACAACAACGAACCTAGTTTCTTGGCATGGTACAACGAACAGAACTTTAGGTTGATTCCAGAATCTTGTAAGGGTGTAACTGTACAGAATCACCGAACAGATTATTGAGAGATATATTTGACAGACACATCTGGTAATTATGTACAATTTTTTAATGTGTTCTTCAACTAAATATCAATTATCAACTTTCGTCTTTCATTTGGAACTGACTCAGTTTTCTCTTTTAATTCTTCAGCGCACAATTTTTTCCATGAATTTGTTCCTTGATTCTACTTAAGAATGAATTTAAATTTACATATAGACATGCCAAAAAAAAAAAATACAAATTGTGCACTAATGACTGTGCCTATCAAATACAGCCTCTTAGATCTAAAAGCAAAACAGAAAACGCCAGAGAAAGACCAAGGCACTCTACCTAGTAGAAATGAGGATCATAAGCACAGCAGATGCTAGTCGCTCCAATTATCCTCGTCCTTAGAGGGCCCTTCATCCTGCATTTCCAAAAAATGTGTAAGATACAAGGCCGCTAAGCAACTAATATAGTTAGTTACAAAAAACCATCAGGTGTACCACCTCATTGGAAACCAATCTGGGCGGCGACCAAACTAGAATTTGTCTATCATTGCCACCAGTGTACAATTCCTGCAATGTGAGATATGAATTACAATTCATGAGGACAAACTTCATTAGGAAAGTTAGAAAAAGGTTTACAGCTCCCATTAATTGACATTGAAGTTGGAACAACTGACTGGAATATTAACTTGCCATTTTAGTTTATAAAGTGTTGACTGGGGAAGGCCTAAAGATAAATCCTAAATTTTTTTAAGAGTACCTGATCTTGTGAACTAAACCAGCAACAGTTTACATGCTCATAGTGACCACGAAATTTCAGGGATGTTTTACCCGACCACATATCGAATGCCTGAAAAAACAAATCTGTATGTCAAACTTTGTAGTTTTATAGAAATGGTTGAATTTTAATCACATGTAAAATTCAGAAAGACTAAAACCTACACACAAAAAAAGGCATTACCTTCACAGCTGTCATGCAGGGAACAAAAACAAGCTCCGAATTCTGACTTGTAGCTAACTGTATGGGCCTGCTGGTTTGCATACGCACGGTTTCAAAGTTCACCAAAGTATTGCAGCCAGATTCTACATCCCACAACCTCAATCTTGAATCGGAACCTGAAATGCAAAAGCTTGATCAATGACATAGGCAGTGAGGAACGAGTGAAAAAACCAATCAGCTGACTTTTGCACGAAGGGAATAATTTATATATTTAAAAGGAAACTAAGGTGAGGGCCCCCATGCATGCTTTTCTCTTTTTATTTTTATTTTCTGTTGGAGGTCATATTTCTGAAGTGTGATCCATACTGTACAACACCAGCAAATCAGGTTAAACTGCACTGATTCTGTGAATATTTGATCACCTCACCAGATTTAAAGTGTATTCTTCATTTCTTTGTCAGATTAAAGTGTATTTGTTATTTTGTAATATAGATCAAGGTTTTAAGTTGTAACTGTCACTTGTCAGTGACCTGCAGTAGTATGGTAGTATAAAGTATAAACTAATGGATATAACTAAAAAAATGTAAAGAGTGAACCTAAACCACTATGATTATTATAAATATCAACTTCGTTAAAGGGATTCAAAATAGGTATAGACGATTCAAAATGGATCTCCTTCTTAAATATAACAAACGTTCAAAATGAAATAACCCAACCTGCACTTAAGAGGTACATGCCATCCTCAGTGACTTTTAATCCAGTAACAGCACCGTAATGGGCAGTGGCGCGATCCTGACTAGACAGCATCCCTGGATGTAATCTTTGCTTCATAGATCCCTTTACTGGACTTTTACCAATGAGTGAGTGCTTTGCACCACTCCCATTAGAAAGTTTCCTTTGTGGTGCCCGAGCTTTTGCAGATGTGCTTTGACTTGGTGATGAGGGCTTAACTGTTGAACCCTGACCGGACATAAAATCAAATATTATCGGTAGAAGGGAAAGTTCAACATAATAAATTTCTCCAGTTAAATCTAGATTCTCCTACTAACTACAAGCTTCAATGACAAACATTACTAATAATGTAAACAAATAGACAGTGCATATAACGGGTTGTGCATTGAGAAAGAGGAAATAACATTTCCCAAAAACATATATAGAACCATTTCAGATTTGCTGGTGAAATAGGCTAACTAACTGTGAAGCAAATAATATAATCATAAAAACTGAACGCGGTCAGTAATTTGAAAACAAACACTTTTGGCTCAGCAAAGCAAAGAAGAAAACCTTAATTGTGGCAGAGCGTTCCAGGATGGGTGGACGCCTCCCAAGCTGAGACTGAGATTGATCCAAAACACGAAAACATCCGGCACGTCTAATGTCCCAAAAACGTATTGCACCATCACATCCACCTGTAAGCAATACCCACTCGCTAGAAGTAGACCATTCCACGGTCATCACACCATCTGCCATCATGAAAAACGCAACACAGTGTATCATAAGTTTCTTGCTGTCCACAAATGCCAGGACAGCCTTGCGCCTACTATACAATTACAGGGTTCAACCAGAAATGATACAAATTTACAGAATGCTGAGAAAACTGAGTAGGCCAGGTTATTTAAAGAAGGGAGTTTCGCAATATTCGTGATCATCCACCCCAAATTTCAAACAGAATCCTTATTTATATCCTCAATATTTTCATCCCCAATGTTTCATGTGTTCACTCATGATATCAAGTTTTGATTTTTCTAACTCTGTATGTATCAAATGTGCATCAAACGTTTAATTCTGCAAATTTCGGGACATACCGCGGTGGCCAGACAAGGTGTGAGCAAAAGCCCCAGAAGCAATATCACAGAGGCGAACTTGAACATCTTCAGTACCGGCAGCAATGAGCATGTGAGAAGTTGCCAGAGGGGACATTGCAGTCCGGTACACCTTCCCCGGCATCTTGAAGTCCATCACTACCTGCGTCGTATTCGTATCCCAAACATTGATGTGATGATCGTACGAACCCGTCACAAACAGTCCGGTGTCGACCGGATACCACACGGCGGAGGACACCGCATACTTATGCCCGTGCTCGTGCTGCTTATCCACCGCAAACAAGCACTTGTGCCTCGTGATAGCTCCGCTGCGTCCGTAATCGGTCCCGCGCTGGACATCGAAGACGGCGGCGGAAGCATCGGAGGCGCCGGATAACAGGTACCGGCCCTCCGTCAAATCGAGCTGGAGAGTGTTGACGGAGCCGCGATGAGGGGAGATGATGTCTTTGTGATTGGAGAGTTGGAGCGTTTGGATCCGTGTGGACTTGATTCGATTTAAGAACGAATTTGGGCGGAGCTTTCCCGCTTCTCTGTCCCCGATTTGCCGCCACATTTTCGGAGCATCTTCTTCTTCTTCTGCCAAATGCAAAGCAAAGCAGAGGCTCACAACGCAACGGTGTCGTATTGCAGTGTTGTCTCTCTCTCACTCCGAATTCTCAAACCGGAACAGGTTTTGTTCTCTCACCCCTTCGTTTTCTCTTCTTCTTCCTCTCTGCTTCGCGTTGATTTTCCTCCTGGTCGACTGGGATTGATTATTCAGCGGGTTCGGGGTATCCAGTTTGACAAGGTGACACCTCCGCATTTCGACAGTGTATGTCAGAGTCTATCCAAAATTAACAACTTTAGGCGAATAGGATCATCTCACGAATTCAGGTAATCAATTAATCGTGATAGTTCATTATATATCGTACGGTTAGAAATTATTTTAAATTTTATTATTTAAAATTAAATATAAATAGTATCTAAAAAAAACTGATCGTATAACGTACCCTGAACGGAGACGATTGGATTGATTGATCCCCCTATCCTCACAAGGAGGATCCTTGTCCAACTTTAGGGTTGTTAATTCGAGTGTGCTTTTAAAATTCAAGTGAATTATGAGAAAACAATTGAAGTACTTTCAACTATTTTAAAAGTATTCTTAATCTGTCACATAGTACTACAGTTCAATATTTTTTTTTATTTGTAAGTGAGAGATTTTAGGTTCGATTCTCGACAAAAATGAATTTCAACCACATTATTGCTAACCTATTATTAGAGTTACCTCACCCCACCTTTAGTATAGATTACGTTTGTTCAGAAAAAGAAAAAAAACACACTCCTAAACTAGCTCTATGATTAACTCATTTTGAATTATTTATAAAACGTTATATATTACTTTAAAGTTTCTTAATTATTGAATGATGTTTATAAGATAACATTCTTAACACTTCTGAGGGCGCTTTGTTGTGCCTCTTAGCTCTATACATTTTAGGAATACAATTATAGGAGATGAATTAAACAAACACCACAATATCGAAAGAAAAGTGTTATTGGCACTCCAAAAATCTAATTCTACACTCCACAAGTGTATTTTTCTTTCTTAATATGGAAAGTTTAGAATGTAGAATGAGATTTTTGAAATGATAATAACAATTTCCTATCAAAAATGTCCTAAATTTTAAAGTTCCGTTTTAGACTAATAAATGATGGAATTCAACAAAAAAAAAATGCCCCTACGTCGAGGTGAACTCCACGTCTTGTTCACTTCATTGTTCTCGTTGAAACGGCGAATCATGGGTCCAAATTGGACATTTGCCCAAATTGATAATCTTTAGGCCTTGTTGCCCGTTTTTCATCTTTTCAATTGTTCTTACATCCTTCCAAGCGAAGACCCAAATCGCACACCAAGCCCAAATCTACACTGTTCGTGCCTTGTTGTCGATTTTACGTCTATTCAATTGTTTCTTGATCTTTATAAGTGAAAAAGAATACAACTAAAGAAGCGAGAATAGATTGGTTGCGAACTCACCGTTCTCAAAATTCAAACCTAAAATCTCTCACTTACAAGTGAAGAACAATACTACTAAACTGTAATATTAAATCACATTTATATCATAAACTTTAGTAGGCCGAGTTCATTGGCAGTCATACACACCAATACACCATAATAACTTTAGGCTTGCTAAGATTAATTCTAGCCACAAACACTCCCATAATAAAAATTCAACAATATTACACTAATGTATTGCACACATTGTCGATATGCTTCCTTTAAATCCATGGTCAAATCGAACGGCTTGAATCTGACTAAAAGCACAATGTATTATGTATGTAATGCATAAATGTAAGGAAGACGTGAAACAACTTATTCCCCAGACAAGCAAAGCTATCAAGGTTTGAAACCGGGAAAACTAATAGATTCGAAGTTTGGAAAAACCAGAAAACGGAGACCTGGACAATAGTGAACGGAGAGGCTGCTGCTTTCACGAATATCACACAAGCATTTCCCGACCGGCAGACTCTTTCTGCAAGCTTCTTCTCAATTAAGACAAGGCAACAACAGCGACCACAAAAAGTTTATGGTGCAACAAAGAATGTCCTGGAGAGACAAAGATCGGAAAATATGAGTAACACAACTGATAAAACTTTTTAGGCTCAGCATAGCACACCGCATATTAGCAGGTGATATTAGTAGTCAACATTATCTTGTTACAGCTTCAGTGTGAGACTCTATTCTCCATTCTCCAACAACCACAATAGAGAGTATTTGGATGGTACTCACCATATACATTCTTGCGGTGAATTGTGCTCCTCTGGAAACATCAAATGGAATTTTCGGGGACCTATTACAAAGAAAAATACAACGTGCATGTCAATATTCATGTCAAGAAATTTAAAAAATGGAAGATTGGGAACAAAAACTTACCATTTCAACATCGTCATCGTCATCGTCATCACCATCAACAATGCGACTATAAGCAGAATTAAAATACCCAACAAATTGCTCCGGTAGCGGTATTCTTTCCAGTTCCGAGGAAATCTTCAACTCAGGGCAATTTCTTATAAAGAAAGTTTTTAATTGTGGGAATTTGACAATGCAATTTCCAGAGCAAAAGTCTTTCAAACTCGGAAGACTTGAAAGTTTCAAATGTAGCAACCGGCTAAAAGCAATCTCATTTCCTGCTGCATCTTCTCCGTCTGAAGTTTCCACTATTTTTATCATTCTTTTACAATTCACAAGAGTCATTTCTCTCAGTTGCATCAACGTTTTAGCAACCGAATAGTTTGTTAATGACTTCAATCTATGACAACCAATCACTTCCAAAGTTGTTAAATTCTGGAAGGATATTGCAGATGTCACTAGATCCTGTATTCTGATACAACCCAACACTCTTAGAATTTCCAAGCTCGGAAAAACCGGGCATGCCGGCGCAGAATTCTCTTTCCAAAGATGCCTTAGCCAGCCCGATCCTTGAATCTTCCAAGGACTTTCATCTTCCAAGGTAATTTCTGCAGATCTACCTTGCTCATGTGAAGTCTTCACTTCAGAGTATGGAGCACGAAACACGACAGATTTGAGTTTGAGAAAGACCTCAGCTGGGAGTAGGTCGTCACAAATCTCCATAGTGCCATCCAAGACCAACTTATCTAACTTGGGGAATGAATCCTGAAATATATTATAGATGGATCAACAATGAACATTAAACAACATAATGAGTAAGAGATCGGTTGTCCAATTAATTTTTTTGACAAGAGGGGAATTTCATATTTGCTTGAATAAATTCGGCGAAAGTATTGTTACCTTTTCAATTAAAAAGAGAGACTGTTTAATCGGAGCAGATACACCACCCAGAACATGTTTCTGGAAACTTGAAAGTTCAACAGACAAAATGTCCAATTTATCACATCTGCGCACTATCAATTCTTCAAGTAACGGCCACTTGGAAGCATGTATTCCCGGATAGAAACACTTAAGTTGGGGCAGCTCTTGTAATTCAAAATATACTACTTTTGGGAACACAAACTCGGGCGTTGTTTCCACTCCCTCTACCTTGCCAATGATTTCCTCAATTCCAGGACAATACAAAATATATTGCAAATTGCTGCACTGACGTATGACTGCCTTGACTAGATTTTGAGCAGATGCTTCATGTTTATCCTTAGTATAATCTCCTCTGCACAAAGAGCCTGGAACATGTTGGTTGTGCCATATTGCCGTCAACTTATTTAAGCCACAGATGAAGAGTCTCTCCAACTTTGGGAACCCAACCTACATTCATCTTATGGAATTGTTAGATCTTTTTTCATTCAAGTGAACATATTAGACAAACATAATGATGAAAGAGAAATGATAGTATAATATTTCACCTTGTCGTCAAAAAGAAAGTACTGTACAACCGTCTTCTTCAAGTCCTCTTTAGTTTCTCTGCGGACTGTAATGCTTTTACTCTTAGGTTTGTAGATGAATGTCTCCAGTACATTACAATTCACTATTTCCAAACTTTCCAAAGATGGAAACTCGATATAATTTCCAGAGCAGAATCTAGAGAGGATTTGAAGATCTATTAGCTTCAAATGTTGTAGCTTACAAAACATGCCATCTGCATTTTCTTCACCATATTCTTGTGTCGAAACTATCTCTTCCATCATGTGACATCTTTTTACCTCAAGATATTTGAGTTGCACTAGACTTCTAGCCGTGGAAGATGAAAACAAGAATCTTGAGCCACATTCATGCACAATCAACCTCGTTAAGTTTGGCAACCCAACCTGCAGTACACACTTCGGGTTTAGAAGAAGACAATTAATGTACATCAATTAATGTTACTAGTCAAATGCAATCCAAAATTTTAGAGATCAAATTCCTGTAATTCAGTTACCATAATATGGCTGAAGATGAATTTCATACCTAACCTAATAAAAGTTTTCTTTATGAGGAAGGAATGATTTGTATATCGAACGTCTTTCAACATTGGGAACACCACTAGATCAAACAATGCTTTTTTGCTTTGATGTTTATATAAGAAAACTCTTCGAATAGCATAAATGTTGGTTACTATCTTCCCTGGTTGACTCATTTTAATCATTTCGATATTCTAAACTTATAGAAGGACGACAGGAAAAAATAATGAAATGCAGAACTGCGCATTCTATAAAATTCTGGATGATAATTATAGTGTAAAGATAGAAAGAATTTAACATGAAACCAGCGATGTACCTTCTCATTTATGATGTATGTAAATTTAGCAATGTTTTGAACATAGAGGTGTTTCAATTGCTGAAAATCTTCACTATCCGACTGGAATTGGAAGTCGTTCTCCAACCCATGCAAGTACAAAGCTTCAGATCTCTTCAATAGCATTCTTAGACCATCGTCCAATTCTTGCCTAGTCGTGAGCTTGAGCTTTAATGTGTTGAGGGTTCCATCCATACTGTCCCATCTTCCATATCTAGTGGTGTGTCGGAAGTTGAATGTGAGAGAATAAGGTGAATGTGGAACAGTGTAATTGGTATCACCAATTGATATATCATATATTTTCAACTTGTCAGAGAATAAGCCCCTTGGCATAATGCTAGCATCCGGAATATGTACAGCTAATGCCGCCAGATGAGGCAAGTCCTTCAGCTCCAAAAGGCTAGCATTACTTCTTTCTCCGGTGACTCCTTCAGCCACCCATTGGTGGAAGCTGTTTCGCATTCTCAAGTCTTCTAGACTATTCAAGCCTGATAATACATTTGGTGAAATCACTTTAAGTTGATAGCAACCTGTCAAATCCAACAACCGAAGATGAGTTAATTTCCCAATTTC